CCATACACCCTTGTTTGCACTTGCCCGTTAACGCCTCCGTTGGACTACACACCACAGCTGCAGGTACAATCGGTTTGAATCGACCGGATCTCGCACACCGATTGGGTTCAAGCGTGCGTACAACAGGGTACTGCTTATCCATCGTAAGGAGTAGAGCTGGACCGGCTTGTTTTTTCATCGAGTTCTTTGATCATTTGAGGTTATTGAAACGCGCCACACTATGATACGATGAAGCCAACGTAGTACTTGAACAGTGAGTTAGCCTCTGTGAACTATGAAAACTTCGAGCTGACCTCACGACACCACATACTGTCAGGTTGGACGCCGTTCGCCTCGGACACAGTATCGGTTCTTTGTCTCTTCGTCGCTTCAGACACCCGGAGTTTCCCTAGGTATCCCTATTCTACTGTGGTTTTGAGCCTAATGCAGTCCTCCATAAAAGGTTCTCTGTCCTTTTACTGCAACAATTCGTTGTTTTACATGGCATGGTCTTATCCCGTTGTAGTGTAGCTCGAAGTCGCAGTAACTGTTCGCTCATCCCGGTTGCTGCGTGACGCCGTTTCATAATTATTTTTAATCCTGAGCCTACCAAATTTTCACGCAAGACTCAACCATATTACCATGCCGCCGCTCCTTCCGCAGTCACTTGCACCATCTCCACCACTATCCAGTTCGCTTTTCTTCTGTGTTTTCTTGGCCCCACAGCCTATCCGTTAGCCGACCCGACGATGACACGAGACTCCGTAGGGGCTACTGATGCATCCAAGGTCCGTAGTCCTCCCGTGATCGGATTTTGGTCACAGTCCTGCTATCACTACCTGATGAATGCAAATCCACATAAAATCGGTCTTAGACTGTAGTATTTTCGGGCGGGCAACACCCAATATTCATCTGCTTCGAATGCGGTCCAAATGGTCGAATTGACCATAATTCACTTCAACGTGAATCCCGGTTCAGTTTTAGACTACGCATCGCAATCCATCCACATGATTGTGCCTCAAAATGGCCGCTCCACTCTCTCCTATAAACATTCTAACCAATAAAGTAGTCAGCTGGTTCGCTTAGACAAACTATTGTCTCGCGAATGTATGTGGTCTTCGCGGCATCCGTTACATTTGAGTAACAGTGCAGCGCTGATAGTATGCACCTCACAACAGTACTATCTGCTCTTCCCTATGAATCGGATAGCGCGAATCTCTATTCACCTTGGTCTACTTTCTCATCACCTCAAACACTCCCGAGGCTCACTATCCTGTCTTTTAGCCACACGTCAAGAAGGCTGACACGGTCTCATCACTTTCGCACTAACCAGGACTCCCGTTTCACGAATGGATTGATCATCCCTCCCGAGAAAGTTATTTTCACGAACATTCTCTGAATCTATCCACTGAAGTGTCTACGTAAGTTGACTAGCAGGGCCTTTCACTCTGCTGTTCGGAAAATCAGGTCACCCTGTTCGGTCTCACAGTGTGCTTCGTTTTTAATCTTCGATCTGAACAAACTTTTGGCCTGATGCAAAAGCACTTCAACCATCGAGTCGCTATGTGGCATGCAAAAATGGGAAAATTTTCTCCATAAAGTACAAAGATTCCGAGAAGTCGCTCAGCTTGCCAAAACAATGCAAACATTTACAGTTAGATTGGCAAGTTTCGCACGAGGTCAAGGTTGAGGGGCGGTGAATCGAAAAGATCGTAATGTATGCGCCGCTTAGTTTTGAATTCGGCGGTTTAAATGGATGTCTCTGACTCACATGATCTTATAGCACCCCTGGAATCAAAACTAAGTCTGAGTGGTGTTCAAATATCTTATCCATGAATGATGATACCTAGACTTTCATCTCCATTCCATCATCTTTGCTCTGACTATACTTCTTCATCCAATGCCGTTTGATTGCTTTCACTGACCCGTACGCGCTGTTCGTTTGCGGCGCTCAGTCAATTTCACGCCTGGTATGTCGTGGCCACATACTCGGTTGTTCACAACTTTGTTTCTGCCTCATCCACAAACAGACTAGCAGTGCGACTCTATTTTTCTCTTCCACTGCTTGCCCTGGTGATCCCAGCTCCACTCATGCGCCAACAAGAAAAGGCGACTCAAAAACACTAGTATTTTTGTATCTGTTTTGCGTCTCCTACGCTACGGCCAGTTAAAGTACTTTTTAGTGGTTTATAGATTGCGATATGGGTTGATTTCTTTTTCACTGCTTAGTTGTCTCTTAAGAACGACCCTTTCATGCTCCTGGAACCGAATTGTTGCTTTGATCAAGTCCTAAAGCCACGGCATCTCTTAGATGCACCCTGATGCCTAGACTTATCTATTGCCGTTGCCTTCACTGTCAATTGCATACCTTCATCGTCCGTCGTGTATCAAATATGATGATCCCCCATCTATGTTAGCCTTTGATCCCAATCACTATAAACCATGCACCAAACTCCGTTCCTTCTTGCACCGATATATGTAACTCTCTTCGCTTCCCGTGCACTTTTCCATGAGCCAGTATGTGTCGATCTTCCCTGCATGACCCCCGCCACCTGCCTCTACATCCTGCTCCCCACGGACTACGATTACCTGTCAACTTATTCCTCCATCAAATGCTCCGAGCAGACTGATCTCACTCCACTCCACTCCACTGCATACCCAGCCCTCGTTGTATTCGTATGATTAAGCACTCCCGTCATTTCACTTGTCCTGTCAACACGCCAGGCACTGTGGCGTCACAACTTTGCACCCTAGTCGCTCTGAAATACATCTTTTGATTTTGCAATCTAGTTGCTTGCCGTTGTAACTGCTTTGAATTGGAAGCGCCATCGTTGTGGTATGTCTTGTTAATGCTTACTTATTTGTATATAAATGGTATCGTTATTCAGCTCCAGTCTTTTTGGTGGAAACGCGTGACCCAACTCTTCCACGCGAATTTCTTCGCGTACATCTTGGGCACTTTCATTGCTACGTCTGTGGTAAATAGGTGTGTACTTTCAAGAGTATCTGTCACTTGGCTGAATGTATTCGACTCATTCATTAGCTATGACATGTTAGCAAACCAACTGCAAGTGCTTGCCTCGCTAGCCGTCGTAGTACTTTTCCGTGGTCGTGTGCACTTTTCCCCCCTCCTCTTTTATGTACCGAGTTACATGCCAATTTGCTTCATTTGTTCCGGTGTTCACCGAACTGAGCAGTCTAGTTACAAACCTCTCATCAACATCCAAAGCGATTCATGATTCGTCTATGCTGCAAAAAGACAGCGGTACACCGTATCGATGTTTCGCTGCCATGCAACCATCATCAGTCGCGCATTGGCTAGGGATACTGCGAGAGTCGCCCGGTCCCCTACGCAGGCTCGAACCTTCAATCTCTGGGTTGCAAGACTGACGCTTTGTCCTTTCGGCCACGAGTGGGCAGCTATACTACACCTATTTTTCAATAGTCAAAAACAGGTTTTCAATGGCTCTTACTGCAGAGCGACTCAGTCTGTCTATCTGGTCTCTGATAGTGTGTGTAATGACTTTCGGCTCTGATTGTCCTATGGTCCTATGCAACTGGCTACCCTAAAATAGAGCATGAGTTGGTAAACCCTACGTGATACATCTACTCATGAGGTTACATACAACGCTGATATGGAAATATTGCTCAGTTGGTTGTACGTTGCATAGTCAAACTAAGAATGACCCGATCATTTTCACTGTAGTTCTAGGTACCTTGTTTTGTTGCTTTATGACATCCCCACTTTCGGGCTATTCGTTGGTCGCCTTAGCGAATTCTTGCCAAAACGCTCCACACGAATCAGCTCTCATTTTCTCACGAAACACCTTTTTCGCAACGCCTCGTCCCTTGACCCCATCTGCTATTGCTCCGCATTGCTTGTTTAGCTCCTTCGCAATCCAGTCATCATCGGTCTCCCTTGGTAACACTTATGAAATCTTTGACGCTATCTCGATCGTCATAGATTTTCCGAATAATGCACAGTAGTTAAGCCTCCACTTGATGTATGGTACCCGCTCACTGCGGTCATACTTACATCATAAATTTACACACTATGCTTCTCGCTCCTGCACTTTGAAATTATCTCTCCCCAGATCGGAAGTATCTCCTGCGTTGGCAATTATATCTATTATTTGATGTTGCGGGTCATTTTGAAGTACGCGTTGTGTGGATGGATTGCGACACGCAATCTCAAAGTGGACCGCGATTCCCATTGAAGTGAACCTTGGTCTTGCGATCACGAGGACCGTAGCTGATGCAAATAGAAATTGGATGTTGCCCGCCCGAAAACACTGCACTACTATGACGCGTTTCGATGTTATTACATCGTATCCAATAGAATTAGCAGGCATCGAACCCGGGGCCATCGGGATGTTAGTTGTGACCGCTACCCCTTCATAGTAGTGCAGTGTTTTCGGGCGGGCAACACCGAATTTCTGTTTATATCTGTTATTTATTTTATGTTACTCATGAGTAGGAGGATTACAGTTGTAACTTTATTTATTTGTTTAATATTGCTACATAAATTATTCTCGTGTGTTCAGTATTCTTCCGCACGTAACCTTTTGGCTCACCATACTCCTCCCGTGTACATTAGGATATTCCGAATAGTGTTTTTAATTACATCACTATCTTGTATTTTTTATTTCAGCCTACCGCTCATGTTTGTCACTGCTAAACGATATGTTGCATTTCATTCACTTACGTCGTTTGCATATACTATGTGATGTCGAACTGTGTCTTATCATAAACACAGTCTGATCAGTTGCGGGCTGATACGTCTTAGGGGCTTATTTGGCCGTCTAACTTGATACCGCATGATGCACGTCGCATCGTTGCATAAAGTCCAGAGTGGCATTCGCTAATAGTCACCCACAAAACTTCCATTTTATCTCTTTAGCTTCGTCTTCGTCAATGATTTTGACTACCTATCTTACTCTTGAATCAGTGAGACAGTGTCATCAGATTTCCTACGTGCATTCCCCATTCACTGTACACTCCATCTTTTCCATCCTTTTCAGTGAACAGTCCCAGCGTAAGGGGCTCGTAGTGCTGTACGACATGCGGGAAGCAAAATATGCCAATTTTGATTACCATCTGTGCATCAAACTGCTGAACTTATTCAAGGTAAGACCTTGGTCCTCATTCTTTTTCTTATCTCTTGGCTCATTTACAACAGCGGTTCGATGGGTTTACCTTCCCGGTTCCATTTATTTAATAATTTATTTATTTATATAGGCGTCAGAGCCTATGGTGCGCTGACGCTGATGGTGGCTAGATCCTGACCGATGATCTACCCACTGCTTCTACTGTTGCGCCATTGGCTCATATCCTGGACGCCTCCTCGTGGCGACCGATAGGTGGGAGTTGGGTTTCGCCCTTCTCCCTGCTAAGATCCAGGACACCAATCCACATGAGTCAGTGAACTTACCATGTGCTAGACCCGCAGCCTTTCGGGTGTACATTTAATAGAACGTTTTGACTGAGGTCCCGAGTCATTCTCCTGTCAGGTGTGGGCGCCCTGACAATGTCATAGTACATCCTCTTCCTTAGGTTTGGAAGTGGTATATGGCCCACTGCCCGTAAAACCTAGCCATGGGAGACAACAGGTCTACGGGTTATAAGCTCACAGCACGATTGGCGTAGAGCACGAGCGCTACGCATTGTCTCTGACGGTGGGAGTGCACATCCGGGTGTTCAATGGTTTGCTACTGCCCGCCTCAAGCCAGACAGCTCCTGGTCAAATTGGTGCAAACCTGCCAAAACCCGCCTGCGTCTGACCGTGGTCGCAGGTGCATCCTACTACGGTCGCAAAATATATATAAATCGTACCAGTACCTCCAAAGCTGCGTGTAACGGCCGTCAAGCAGATCCCAATCTGTCTCTGCAATCACATTCCCGAGCTGGATCTGCTCCCCACTGCCTTGTGGATCAGGCTATTGAGCCAAAGGCTCTGGGTGGAGTCCCTCATGCAAACCTCCGAAGCACAACAACCACCTCGCGTGCGATTGCCCACCAATGCAATCGTATGCCTGCGCTCAAAGCACTCAGCATCGGGTGCTGGAACTTGCGCACACTACTGAACCGGAACTCCAGTGAGCGCCCCGAGCGACGCACTGCACTGATCGCGATGGAGCTGGCGCGTTACCACATCGATATTACAGCGCTCAGTGAAACTCGGCTCTCTGAGCATGGTAACTTGCATGAAGCAGGTGCTGGCTACACCTTCTACTGCGTGGGCAACGCCGCCTCAGCACCACGTGATCATGGGGTCGGATTTGCAATATCCGATCGCCTCCATGGCCAGCTGGTGAGTGAATCAACAAGCATCAGCACGCGACTGATGACTGTTCGCCTGCGACTCGGAAGAGGTAAGTTTGCCACTTTTATCAGCACTTACGGTCCGACCATGTGTTATATATATATATATATATATATATATATATATATATATATATATATATATATATATATATATATATGACTTTGGGTGTGTGACTGATTTGGCGATGCCCGCTTCACCATCTGCATATCAGCTGTATAACATTTCTTCCGAAACCAGTACCAGATACCCCTCTCAATCTTCTCCCTCCAACTGGACTGATATCCTTGACATATCGTCTCTCATAGGCTATGAGCTGCCTTCGCCTTGAGTTGGTTGCATGAATCTCCAAATAGGTATCGATCTTACGCCGTATGATGCAGTTTCTTGTTTACTCAGTGTCGTATCAGTTGTCCACAACTCTAGGTATAATGCTTACCATGTTATGCCCACAGAACTAGCAATGTTGCTGCTGGCAGACTTTTCTAGCGGGCGTCACAGCCGGAGCTTGGACTTGTGGTCTAAGTCATCACACGATGTCTTATTTTGGGTCTTGTCCAACTTCACTTATACGTTTTACATGACCATCCAGTTCATCCAGTTTTCACTGACTAGTCACGTGACGAACAGACTGCTGGGGATCAAAAGCAATCGTCGGATAAGTGGTCTATTTCTGGATTTGCGTCGCACATGCGCTTGTGACATATTTACCAAAAATCTCGCACTGAATACGTCACCTCGGGTGGTGGCGAAAAGTTATCATCAACCCCAACAACAGGCTATCAGTATTGACTTATTTTGAACCAAAACATTGTTGCTGTTCGGTCTAGCTGTACCCTTGCTGTCCTCTGTGCACAAGAGTATATCAGCTGATCTCTTCTTATGTGAAATTCGCAGTGTCAGAAATCAGCAGTCACGTTTGCGCCTACCGCGTCCATACATTGTGCGTTAGGAGCAATTCGACGACCTCTCACGTAGCTTGATGTGCTTGCTTTAGGCAATGATTTGATTTTGGGATCTCTCCACTGCTTTTTATCATTTAGGATCTCTTCAAGACACTCGAAACTGTTTCTCACCTTGCTTCGCCGCACTCGGTTTGATATTCTAACAGAACCGCTGCATGCTTCCGTGTTTGTCTTTCCCGTGAAAACCTTTCCTTAACGAATACTCCATATTCTGGAATGACTTTCAAATGAGACCGTGTATTACAGAATATAAGCTGAGGAATTTTGGACAGTTTTTTGTCTCTGTAGAGGGGGGGTCGGCTTATACAAAGGTCATACGCGATTTGAAAAGTCACATGCAAAATCCACCGAGGAATTCACTGCAAACCACCGCTGTTATCTTCCATTATGATCGCCCCTTAGTGACGGACGGTATTCCATACAGAGATTTTAAGGGCCTATAACTGGACGCGTTGCTTTTATCTCGGAAATTCTCGGCATATCGCGCATCTGACGTTCGCAACGGATGGCAATAATAAATCCAAAGCCGCTGAACATCGTATTATATTAGGCGATCCGATGCTTTAAGATTACCACGTCGTCCAACCCCCCATGACCATGAACTCTACTCCCCCTACTGTTCTACTGTGGTTCATGTGCATGAGGCCCCTTCTCACCTTCCCATACACTGTTGGCTGTCTTACCTGTTTCATGTAACTTGAACGTCCATTTTTAACGGCCCTACACCTCATTGCCCGCGACTATAACATTACGGTCACCACAGCTGACTAGCAGGTTTCACTTGAACTCACTCAAGTGCGAGCAAGTATTGCTGACATCGAAACCGTAGAGAAGCAACTTCGTTTCTCTTTTGCTAATTTTTTACGGTTCGGCTAATACATGGACTTACAATTTTGGACAAATTTGATGTTGGAAAGTCATACTGTCGGCTTGTCTATGGGCAGACTTATATTCGGTAATATACTGCACGTGAAATTAAGTCAACGGTCAACTTCCATAAAGTTATGTATTCGTTTTTAGATATAGGAATGTCTATTGATATCTTGCGACCAAATTCGACGAATGAATTACTTCATGAAGTAGTTGCGAGATGGCTTCGACTTGAAAGCTAGAATATTGGAACCATGGTTTAATACAGGTAAAAAAAGCCCATGATTGACAGGTCTCGTGGGATGGTTTGGGTGAATTACATAAGTTCTGAAAAGGTGACAGTACAGCGAAACGCACATCTGTTGATTTACCATAATATCCACGTCAACACAAGTATATTCGTCTACCCTGATTTCGTGGGGATTGGTAAGCACAATGTTTTTCTGCGTCTTGTCGTCACCCTATGAGCGGATTTCAAATCTCATGATGCAGTTGCTGTAATACCTCATCAAGTCGTTATAAAAAGTGCGTAGCGTAAGTACAGAAATGTCAAAAGTCAACTCGAGGGTTTCACAGTCGACAACTTCTAATGGAACACTAGTTCCACCGGCATTCCAGACGACTGTATTGAGTGCACAGTTTCATCTGGTGGCCCCTTAGTTTTGTGTTGCGAATAAATTCAAAGAGATGGCGGAAAACCTGACTAGGGTTTTTCCTACTCTGATACGTCACGATGTGGCCACCATATAAATGGCAACAACTTCCGCTGTGCACTCCTGTGGCTTTCAGTCGCAGTTGCTGGAACAGGCGGAACATGTCTTTTGCATTTGGGTTGCTCTTCGCTGTGGGTTCTCCACTGCGACCAGATCGTGTTTTAGCTAGAGTTGTCAGGCCTGAATCGCGTACTCTACCTATGCGTCGAGCGTTTGCGGGAAGATGGACGGGTCGACTCATCCAAACTGCTTCCGTAAGAGACCAACATGTTGGCTCGCAATTTTGGACATCAAAGACTACTACGAACAGCCAATGTCATCTGGCATCAGCGCCCTAATGCCACGCTTCTGAATGGCAGTCTTCAAGTTGTGGTCTCCAGGCTTATATGTGCTTGTGGTCTACATGTGCAGCTTTACACTTGTCCACGTTGAACGGAATTAGATTTGTATTTCACTACTCAAAAACACGTTCTGTGTCTCGTTACATTAGTGTGTGATCTTTCTGGTCACCAGTCGTCCGCCATCTCTTGATGTCATCTGCAGAAACCAAGAGAGCTCCTTGATAAAGACCAAGAATGAATGGAACCCCAACACTGATCCTTGTGTAAAACCGCATGCCACCTCAAAAGGATTAGATAATGTGTCCCGAATCCTATCTAGAAGCCGCTGCTAAAGGACTAAATTTCCCATCCATCCAAAAACTGGATTCTCAATTCCGTAGGCAACTTTTGGGAAAGGATTCGGTTATCTAAGCAGTCGCAGGCTTTAGAAAAATCGAGACAAATGACATCGGTTCCGGTCCTACCATCCGCTCTTTCGGTCTAACGGCCGCGTGCAATCAGTAGGTTGGTAGCACTTAACCGGTTGACGGAGGCCATGTTGTTCCGACTCTGTGATGTTCGATCTTTCTTAGTAACCCATTTGTGCTTCAGCTGTGATCGACTCCATCGTCTTTCGGCGCACTGTGACTATACTTGGCTGGCTCCGAACAGCTACCGCCCTTAAAAACGGGTTATGATGCCCCACCACATGTTAGAAACCTGCTGTTCATCCAAGCGCCTTTGAAAGAACCGCCTTAATGGCTCGGCTATCCTAACAGCTGCCACTTGCAGTACTTTCTGGTTAATGTTGTCAACTCCGGAGGAACTATAGGTTCGCAGTGATATCAGTTTCCTCAAAACAATCGGTGCACTGAAAGTGATTTGAGCAAATCCTAGCTTCAGGGGTGTGATATGTGACACATGCTGGTGGATTGTG